GGGTGTGGGTACGGTGGGCGCGGCTGTGCGAGTGGGTGTGGGTACGGGTGGGCGCAGCTGTGCGGGTGGGTGTTGATGTGGCTTTGGATAGAGAGAAAGCCTACACTCGCACCCTCTAGCCACATCCACACCTACACCTACCCACACGCACACCCACACCGACACCCACACCCCAACCACACCCACCGACACCGTCAACCCTACCGCCACCCCACCCTCAATTTACTCTTTTCGATATATCATATAGATACGAAGTAGTTATATAATATTCTTTTGTATATGACTACTCATTCTTCGTATCATATTTCAAACCATTTTTGTCGATCGTTAGAAAACACTTGTATAAATGTATCATAATCTTTATTATTTTTCGATGTTGCTTGATCTAAATATTCATACATATCAAGTCCAAATGCATCGAGTAAAATAATACCATAAATTGGATTTTTGATATTATATTGATTGAAGAATCGAGTATTCGAATTAATAAATTCTATTAAATGTCCTCCGCTTGAATGACCCATAAGAAATATTCGATTTGGATCACCACCATAATTAGATATATATTGATATACCCATATGACAGCTGCAGTACAATCTTGAGCCATTCTCTCTATTTGATTAGATGCTAAACTGTAATTAATAATTACAGTGACTAAACCTTTACGAACAAAATTTCGTCCAAGATATTTATATCTATTTTTATGACCACTTTTCCATTTACCACCATGAACAAATATAAGAACATCTCGTAGTGAATCTTTACTTGAATAATAAACATCTAATACATTTCGTTTGTCCTTTGTATCATTTTTGTAATTGATGTTACGAATTGAACGTACTATTTTTTTTTCTTCTAATATGTATAAACTTGTAATAATATTATTGATCGATCAAATAGTATTGCATGCATGACATACGCTTTAATTTATAGAATCGACCAGTTGCGCACAAAAATAAAAAATAAAAAATGCGCAGAAGAAGAGAGAATGAGCAGCCTATAATTTTTGTAATGATAAGATGACACAGACATTTATGAGTACACAAAAATAAGATGACGAAATTTTTCATTTGAGTTTATGATTAATAATATATCCATGGTCTAATTTCTCCTTTGACTCTTAATTAAAAATGATACAGATAACAAAAAAAAATAGAACTGTAAAATATCCAACACGTCATTATAAATATACCCATGATTGCTTTTGTCTCTTTCAATATAAAGCAAACATGAAAATGATTTATTTATTTCATGGAGTTGTTGATGATATGTTTTACTTGAATTTGAATACTGGTTTGTCAATTCGATATAAATAAGGTTTTTTATCATGAGAAGAATTTTAATGTAAAGAGGTCACTGATCATCTAGCCTAAGACGAGGCGAAGTCAGTTGTTATAGTGATGTTTAGACGTACATGACGGACAAAAATGGTAACAATCGAACTTTAAAAAAATAAAATTTATGTGTGATTTGATTTTTTTTCTTATTAAAGTGATTTTGGATTATTTCGCGTAGAGATCACGTGTTATCACTTTTTATTTTATATTTTAAAAAATGAATGAAAAAAAACCAATAAATGTGACAAATTCTACTAGTCAATCTAAATCAATTGATAAAAAACAAGAAATATCACCTATTCTTATTTCGTATAATAAAAATAATGATGAGAAAAATCAAGAAGATAATTTTATTTATTATAATAATGTTCAACAATGTATTCAAGCTATTGAACAATCTTCTATACCCATATTTCTCATATTAAACAGTACATCAGCAACTGATATTCTTTCTCGCATTCATTCATTAACACAAATTGATACTATTTTTATTTATTGTAATTCATTACGAGAACAACAAAGATGTCAATATCTTTGTCAACATTATTCAAAAAGATTTGATCTATTTATTGATCATAAACAATTACTTGATACTATTCAAGAAAATATTCTTCTCTATAAAAAACAATCAGGTAATGATTATCTTCGTTTAGCTGAAAATTATAAACAAAAAAATGAATTAAATCGTGCACTTAAATAATTTATCTATTATTGAATGAAAAAAGAAATTAAAGCAATAGATAATTCATAGAAAAATAGTTTAAAATTTTCTCGGTTAAGTACTCATATATAAATTTTTTAAATACAGAAACAATGTTCTTTTTTTTATTTCCAGTTTTAAATTTCTAGATTAGATTTAAATCATCTTGAATAATGATTATCGACGATAAAATCGACCGCGTGAAGAATTAGATTTTCCACGGCTCAAACCAAAAGCGGATGAAGGCTCGTTTTCCATATTACATCTAGAACATGTTGTTTGTTCGGTGATTGTCTTATTCCACATTAAATGAATTTCTATGAGAAAGATAGAATAAAATAACAACAGTATGATTTAACTTAAGAAGATGTAGTTTCGGATGGTACCTCGTGTTTGAGATGAGACATACCTTATTAGATAGAACCTGTTGAGACTAGAATAGTCCTAGAAGGATTCTTCACCATGCAGTGTCCTTCTGAAGTTATGGCCGTTTCATTGGATCTTTTACTCTTGGTATGGTGCTTATAAAAAAAAAAAGTTTAACAAACAAATTTTGACCCGAAACTTTATTCTATAAATAGTTCTTGAGACCATTGAAGTATTCTAAAAATTTCAGCCAAAAAGAATGGTTCTTTCTTGAGATATCAAATACCCCATAAAAAAGATAGACAATCAATTTTTTTTTCTAGCATTTGATATCTCAAGAAGGAATCATTCTTTCTGGCTGAAATTTTTAGAACATTTTAATGATCTCAAGAACTATTTATAGAATAAAGTTTCGGATCAAAATTTGTTTGTTCAACTTTTTTTTTATAAGCACCATACCAAGGATAAAAGATCCAATGGATGGCTATAACTTCAGCTGGACAGTACATCACGAAAAATTCTCCTAGGATTTTTCTAGTCTCAACAGACTCTACCTGATGAGGAGTGTCTCATCTCAAATGCTAGGTACCATCCGATGTGGTTTCCTAGTTAGCAGTTTACAACTAAGTCATTTTACATATTTATGTATGAAATACAGCAACAGTTAGAAAAGAACCGCTAATATTAGCTTTGCATTCTGTAAGATGTTTTTTCTTTTCTTCTTACTTTGTGCACAAACCAACCATTTACCATCACATATAAGTCGATCTTGTTCAAAATCTTCCCATTTTGTTTCATCAGGAAGAATTGATTTCCATTTATCATTATTCTCATTATCGTTATTTAATAAAAGGTAACATATTTGACATGCAAATTGATTGAATGGATTTGGTCCAAAAAGAATATCATTCAATGTTTCATTATTAATTTCATTTCGATCAGATTCTAATAATTTGTCAGATTCTTTCATAGTATCAATAATTAATAATCGATTGTATTCATTTTCAAGATCTAACCATTGTTGTCGAGTAAGAAATAATGAATCATTTTTTTCAACATGTTCGTAAATAGTTTTTAATATTACATCACGTTCCTTAGAGATTTCATCACTTAATTTACGAAAAAGATTTACAACATGTACAAATAATTCAGTAAGTTTTCTTCGACGATTATTATCAGTATTTATTTTAATAATTTTAATAATATATTCCGGTAAATCAGTATATTGGATTACAGAACGTGAATTAACACCAAATCCATCCGTTAATGAACTAGATAAAGTTTTCAAAGAAAAAATGGAATTTCCAATTCTTTGTTGAATCTTTTTTATTAAACGTGAATAACGTTTACATTTGATTATTGGATGTTGACATTTAGGACATCGAGGATATTCTACATACATTGAATCATTTGATAAAAAATTTCTTGAATAAAAAAAACGACAAAAAAATTTTAAAAAAAATAAATCAAGACAAGAATCTATTTAATAAACTTACTGATTTTCAAATTTTTCAATATATTCATCAAGAATATTAGTTTCAAAGAGATGATCACATTCAAGCTGAACAAAAGTAGCATATCGTATATTTTTTGAACGAATTATTTTTTGAATTTCATTTGGTAATTCTTTTTCACGACAAACCAAACAATCAATACAAGGTTCTCCACAAATTCCATTACAATAATGTTCACAGTCAAAACGTCGTGTACATTTTTTGTTACATGGTTGACGATCACATTCACTTTTACATCGTTGCCCACAACGTAAATGTCTGCATTTATACTGACAGAATCGATTACATTGATACACGAGACATTGACTAGGTAATATACGTGGTTCATCCGGATGATCGCATAGTTTCATGTATTGTTGTTCACAAGGTGGTCCAAGTTCATGACAACGTTGTTGACGACTATGACCACATATATAAACAATAAGTTCTTGTTGATCACATGGACGATGAAATCGACTTTGAAGACATGTTGAACATGTACCTTTACAATTATGTCCACATTCCTATAGAATAATACAAATCGATTATATGACAAAACAAAAAAAAAAAAGAAAAAATCTTACAAGAATAAAATCACATGGACGAGTACATAATCGACCTTGTAATTCTTTATTTCGTAAATCACAACAACGTACTTGAACTTGATGTCCAAGTGAACATTTATATGGAACAAGTACACCACATTCAAGTTGATTATTTTTACGCATAAAACATGCTATATCACTTGTATGTTCACAATTAGGCATTTTTAAATGAATCATTTCATGACATGGTAAACATATTGTTGTTGAATGACATTTTTTTTGACATTGATGTTCACAATCATCATAGTTTTTTAAACAAAGTTTTTGACAATTTATTAAATTATGTGATGTATTATGACATGTCAATGGACATTGATGACCACATGAAAGACGAGCTTCACATTTAAGTCCACATCCACCAAGTGGTCGTTTATTAAAATCATGTGGATATATACATATGGTTTGATTATCAAGATGATTAGGACAATTTATTGGCAGACCTATAATTTTAAATAAATTTTTAAATAAAAAAAAATTTTTTTTTTGTTTTTTTTTTGTAATAAACCTGATCCAATAAGTTTGAGTTGTTTCATTTTATTTATAATAATTTTCCATGTTTCATTATGTTCAGCAAGTAAATGAAAATTTCCAATAACATAAAATCCATTTTGTGCACGAGATAATGCAACACATATACGATTATCAACAGCTATATAACCAAGACGTCGATCAGCATTACTTCGTACAAGACTTAATAGGACAATACGATTTTCTTCTCCTTGAAAATTATCAACTACCTAAACATATAAACAAAGTTAAATGTTAACAAGAAACAATATTCATGAACTAAATTTTACAATTAAATGCTCAATATTTAGCGTGGAGTGTTAGAGTACTAATTTCAAGAAGGCCGACATCAATACCCACACCCTTTTTTTCGTTTTTGTTTCTCTCTTAGATCTTTTTTTTTGTCATTAGAATATAATTTATTTATCTTGTTAATAAAATACATTTCATAGAACTATATACTTACAGTAACATGAATACCTTTAAGATGTTTTAATTGATTCATTGATTTTTGAATTTGTTGTCGTTGACCCATATATGTTGTTAAAATAGTTATATCATTTTTATCATAACCTTGTTTAATTAAATAATCTGCTAATTGTAAAATATAATTACTTTCATAAGGATTTCTTTTTGATACACCATCACTAACATTTTCTTCAAAATTTCCATGATTAATAAAATAAAGTGGATGTGTTATACCAATAATTGATGGACGATTATTTACGGATTCATGATTAATTATAGGTATATCATAAAAATGATGTGTTAAACTAGATATAATTGGAATTGAACGATGTTGAACACATAATTGTACAGATGGCATTTGATTTTTAATTAATCGTTCAAATAAAGATACATCAAGATTAAAATGTTTTGCTAATGTATAAACATTTGGTGATGGACGAAGTTGAACATGATCACCAATAAGAATTAAATGTTCAATACGTTCTCCAATAGCTGTAACAATATGTGACTCAAATACCTTTTAAAACAAAAGAAAAAAACGTATTTTTCATATTATTTGACATAGAAATTTTGTTTTTGTTTTATTTCAATTTACTTCAGCTGCTTCTTCAACTATACATATACGAGGAGCTATTTGTTTTAATACTTTTTGATATCGTGATGCACAATGAGTTGTCATAGCAATTCTAAAATCAAATATAAAATAATTATATAATAAAAATTTAGTAAATTTCATTACATAAATGCTTTGTCCATGTATATTTGATCATTTGTAAACCATAATGCTTGCATTGATTTATAATTTTCATCATATTGTTCATTTAAATGAAACCATTCGTCTATAAAAAAAAAAAAGAAAAGAACAATTTGTAAATAATGAGTGAGAAAATATTTCATTCAAGAAATATATCTTTTACAGATAACTTAAATCTATGAATTTAAATGCTTGTAATATTTAAAATATTCTCAGTTTCTATTATTCTATGTTTTATAGTATGAATGTTAAGATCTTAAACAAATGAATATTTTATCTGAACAAAATTTTCTTTTGTTTTTAATTCTTATCTTTTACAGAAAAATAAAATATTTCTATTAAACCTGTAAGTAATTGAACATATTTCCGAAGCCAATAACGATAAAGAGCTTGTCGTTGTTCTTTATCTATTAATGTTGACCATAAATCTTTGAAATTCTTTATTTCATTATCTGATAAAAAAGCTGTTCTATTATTTAATAAATGTTGCATATATTCCAGTTGTCCAATATTAATTTTTTGATATTCTTTATCATTAGTTTGATTAGGCATGGTAAATGGTATGTATGTATTATCGACATTTTCTAATCGGCGTAATTCTTCTTCATCATCTTCTAAATTAACAGGGTTTTCATCGACAATATTTGTATTATTTGATGTTGTTGTTGTTAAAATAGGATCATTCAATATTTCTAAGAAAAAAGAAAAACTTAGATCGACTTTTTTTAAAATTTAATAAAATTAAATATACTTTCTAAAACTGATTTTGCTTTGTTCTTATTTTTATTTTTATTTTTTCTTCGTTGT